GTGCAAAGCTAAACTGTTTTATACTTTTTTTTCAAATTTAAATATATATGTATCACAGACAACAGTGATTCTATATAAACCAGATTAACAGCACACAAAATATATATAAAACAATATATTTTTGAAATAAAATCGAAGTTATTAATACTTTAAAAACTTACAGATTATGTGTAGTCTAAGAGCCATTGACTGACGGCACCAGTTGTACACTGGTAACTGGTAAGTTACAGGTCATATCTCTGAGTTTTCTATGCACGAATTTTACAATTAAATAAAAATATTTAACTATTTACAGCTGCATTAAATATTCATGGTTGAATTTGAACAATTTAGTGAACTAGTGTCAGCACTCAATCAGTCACGCAGCACTTTAATGCCATGCAGCTGATCGACGAAATAGGTTGTTCTAAAAGTAACTGGGGTATAAAAACCACTGAATTACTGAATTTCCATATTTTGCTCTGTATGGAAACATTATAAATACTTAATGATGCTCAGACAAATATCCAGAGAAGAAATCATACAAAATTTTGAGCAACTGTTACACTCTAAAATGCTAAGATGCCAATCAGTAGATCAAAGTTAAACTTGAAACAGTTCTTTATTGTCATTCAGAAACATTCAAGGCAGCTGTAACAATGTACAAAACATTTTTCTCACCTGAGAAAGCTCAATCTTTCCTGAACTTGTTGTACATGACTATACCTACTACCTGGCAACACCTCAATTGGATCATAGTCTGGGTGTTCTACAGACAAATGAAAGTATGCACTGGATAAAACACTACGTTTTTTGTTTTTTGACTGGTGACGTCTTTGTAGATTTATAAAGTTGTGCCTGGCACAAAATTATCTACGACCAAACATTGATAGTGTGTCCCTATTGTGATGTATGTATCAAAGTATAGCCTGTACACACAGATGTCAGATAACAGACAAGTTTTAGAGTGATTTTTTTTATTAAACATTTATTACTAAATTTGATGTTCTCTTTATATTTTTATACATAACTTTTTTTTATTAACTTATATTCAATGTTAGATTTCAATCAGATATTCCACTTTTCAATTAAGCTTTTTGAAAATGCCAGTGGCAACTGATTGCAGACTAAAGGTCCCATTATGTTCAATGCAATACCAAGTTTGAACAAAATCTGTCTATGTGAAACCAGAAATTCATGATGTTTAAAATAGCCAACACTTAAATTTGACAATGAAGTGAATGTATGTCCTTATGAGTGACATAATGAATGCAAGATTAATTCGTCAAGGTATGTACCATACTTCCTCGTGTATAAGCCCAGAGGCCTGAACGTGTAAAATTGGGAAAAAATAGAGGTTGGACATATACGGTACTCGAGGACCACCTCAGAAAAGATAATTTTTTGGGGGTTTAAAACTGTAACCATGCTGTGTCGTACAGACGAAGTTTCCCGAATATTGACCAAGTAATTTTTTTAACGCAAGTGAATTATTTGATTTTTACAAAATGATTTTTTTCCCTAAAGCTGTTGATTCACAATTTTTGAAAGGTAAACTGAGGGTGGAGGAATTATTTAAACCTTTCACGGTCGCAAACAAGTCATATCGAAGAATAGTTTGCTTGTCCACATCCCATTCCTGAAGGTCTCAATGGACATGACTATTCGGGAAAGTAAACTGCTACCCAAAAGAAATATGGATTACTTCAGTATTGCGACATCGGGGCTCATCCTGAATAAATAACAGAATAGAAAAGGTATGAACCATGTTCTGTGCGTTCGCCGGCCATGCACTTTGAAATTAATGCTAGTTTTCTTGTAAAAGCAGGAACCAAACTACCATACCAATCACGATTATTATGCAATGAAATACACTTTTTACATGCATATTTTAATATACCGTATGTCGTCGATGCCTGGTAAAAACACCCTAGGCCTATACTCGGGGATCCCCTTAACTTGTTAAATGTCTAAAAACAGAGGGGTGGGCTTATACTCTGGGAGGGGCTTATACGCAGGGAAGTACGGTATAAGCCAATTACACAAGTACATCAACATTTGATATAACATTGTTGAAATGACAGTAATGATCAAACTATACCTTTGGCAATGTGTCTAGCTTTATTCATATAACTGGATAAATTCTCAGCTACCAGAGTTACTAATGAATGATTATGTTGTAGTAAATTAATCACATCATGTTTATAATGGGCATGTGGACTACGTTGCGTATGACTGTAATTCTGTGGTGCCTGAAATAACAGAGGTTATATAACAATTAGATCTTAGGGTCATTTATACATGATTCATGCTGGGCTGTACAGAGATGGTAGTCTGCTGACACCAATTAATTCTTTATTCTTTATTATCATTACCAAGCTCAACTGCTTGAACAAAAATCTAGTGACAGGCATGGGTGAA